CCCGCTGTCCAACACTTGAGAGAATTCAGATTGAGAAGATTTCATTCAGAGCGGCTTCCTTCTTCCCCTCTGCTCTACCCACAAACCCCTTACAAGTTCTCCAAAGACAAAGAAAAGGTCCAACAATGACCCTGCTACTTGAAATAATTCAGAACACTGCCGTCATGTGAGAGAAAGACGATTCTCCAGTGGTTCTCCAGTACATACAGCTCTCACAATAAGACAGTAGAGGGTCAGTCAATGTCATGAAGAAGCAGCAAGTATTCTAGTCAACGGTGTGTGATGAAAGGTGTGAAACTCTGCAATCCTTTTATTCAGAAATGCCACACACAGCTTAAAGGTGAGCTATTGTGCTTCCTTGAACAGGTTAGGATCGGTCTATGTGCTATGCAAAACATGTTCATTACATTTTCTGCATAAATTCATTTTTAGATAATGAGATGTCAGTCTCAGTTTTGCCTCTTGCTAGAATGAGCCGTTTTAGGATCTCTTGTCATTTTAAATCCAAATAAGCTGTTGCTGGCTACTCCCCCCCCATCTCAACGTTTACACTCGCGCATGAAATGGTTGCAAACAGATGGGCAATTATACATCTGAACATCTTTGAAAAGCATTAGTAGAGCTTCCTTCACAACCAACAAGAATGCAGCAAGTGGTTTGTGGATGATAAGTCAACAAAAAAAAAAAAAACAGTTGCCTTTTCCACCAGCCATTGTACAGCACATACAGCAGTAAAATCAGCTAATCAAACTTGTAGGAGCTCCACTTGGGTTGCTAGGTGATGGGCTCTTCTTCGGTGGGGTTGGTAAGTGAGGAGCAGTGTCTGTTCATTTGTGACGTTACATTCCAGAGGTTTTTGAAACAGACACCAAAAAACATCAACTTACTGTTAAAAACCAGCTGGGTGTTTTTTTTTTTTAAGCACCTGGGTTTGTTTGAGAAGCAGTAGTAACCCAAATGGAAGTACAAAGACATACAAAATGTGAATTTTACATAATATGTCCCGTTTAAATAGTCTTTACTTTGTTTAAGTCTGCTTTTCTCAGAGCAGAAAGTAGAAGTAGCTGGGGCATTTACTTACTGAGGTCTCCTAGCTGGACATGTCCCAGCACGTAGAGGCCACTCTTCTTGATGTCATTGATAAACGTGATGAGGCCCACGCTGCTGCGAGGGTTGGAAACCATGAGGAGGATCTGAGGTCTCCAGAACTTGATGTGGTCTTTCCTGACATCCAGCATTAGGAGGTATTTTCGTACCTGCAGCAGGAAAAAATGGGTTAGAAAATGATTTTTATCTCAACCAGCGTAATCCTAAATAATTAAATAAGTTAAGTGGTTTCAATCAAGGAGTTACTAAGCATATTGCATATGGTCATTGAATGACGTGTGCTTGGCTAATGATAATGATAGATAACTAGTGACTGATTTGTCAGTCATACGCATACAATTATTTTTATTTCCCATTTCAACATCTGTCTAATGCATGTCTAGTCTCTCTTGTATTTGTATTTGGTGTAAACACATTTTTTATTCAGCTAATATTTTTTTGCAGTTATGCGTTTTATTTTGGTAAAACATATTCAGAAATTTTACATGCGAGTCAAAGCCCTGGGAGAAGATATACGAGTCTCTTTAGCACCTTTTAACCTTTTACAAAGACTAAATTTATAAAAACCCACAGGTCCAGTTCAACATGAATTTGAAATAGCTGGAAGTTCAAAAAGCAGTAAGTGGCCCAGTTAGTCAAAAAATAAAACAAAACAAACAAAAAAAAACTAACAAATGTTAATGGATAATATGTTAAAATTTGTGATGTGACAAATCTAAGACAGAATGTCATGTAAGTATACATTTCTGAAAAAAGAACAACAAAAACTGAAATATAAAACTTTACTATACATCACTTTATCATTAAGCTTTTAGTATTTAGAAAATTACAGATGTCAAAAAGTTCAGACTAATCCAGACATGGAAAATGGCCAAATAATCTACTTTTCCAAACTATATGAACTCTGATCAGGATGCTTAATTTTGGAGGAGAATCAATTAACTATTTAGGAACTATATCCATGTGGGATTAAATACTAAAACCAAAATCTAAAATGAATTTATGCCAATCTTGGGAAGCCTGTTGCTTTATTTGAAGCTGCATTATAAAAGAGTGACTCTGGGAGAAAAGTCCAGCTGAATGAGAATTTGATCCTACTAGGGACTTCTGACCCTTTTGAGTGCTGCTAATAAAACCTGAAGTTACTGGAAAATTGTGGAGAGTTTCATTTCTCAGAAGAAACCAGCAGAGAGGTGATGTGAACAAAGACAACTTGGGATGAGTCATCCAGTTATCTCGCATTTTAGATGAGTGGGACGGGGAGACAGCCTCAAGTCCTTCCCGCCAATTAAAGAGCTCAAACTTTTTTGGCCGGAGGAAACCTCTACACAGGAAGTACACCACGTGAAAGGGAAGAAAAAAAAACACTTGAAAATGATTTTATTATGGAAACACATTCAGGGTATGTTTTATTGGCTTGTGGTGGTGCTGGAACTTTGTAAAAAAAAAAAAAAATGTTTTTGAGCTGAAGCTTCAATTTAGGATTCAGCCTGAAAAAACAGACAAGAAATCATTCCGATAATGTCTAAGCAATGCAAGTTCAGCTCAATCTCCTGAAACTGCAAGTTAATGTGTGTCCACGTGACTATCAATCAAAAACCAAGATACAAACACCATTATTACTATCATAATCTCCCCAACTGTAAAAGACAAAAAGACAAGGTCCCAGAAGCAAAGTCTGACTGTCTCCACTAAGCTAATCATCTGTCTCCCTTTATCTCTGTTTCCCTGTCTTCTCATCCATCAGACTATCATCATTTCACTGCTGCTTCTATCTCATCCATCACTTAGTTTTTCAATCATTCATCCCCTGCTTATATTCTGCTCCCACCTTCTCTCCCTGTGATACAATCAGCACTTCTTGCCTCCGTTTTGTCTTTTTATTCTCTCCTAAAAACAGCTGTCGACCGCCTACTATCTAGTTGCCTTTCTTTGTTGTTATGTACTAATGTGCTTTTCATCCCCGTCTCAATGTCACACCGCTGGCACTCCCATACACCGGCTACTGCTGGAGGGTGCAACTGTATGCATGTGGCACAGTATACGTGCACAGATGGGGTCTTTAGCTCAGCCTATCATTTGTATTATTTTTATCAAAATGGGCTTCTTGCTAGAGGCGGGTTTAGAACCCACTTCCACTGAATGATGAGAAGTGGGGGCGGTGAAATGAGAAGGCCCATTTGTAAAATGAATATAAGAAGATGTTAAGACGTACATTTAAAGTTCATAGAAATGATTAATTACCTAACAAGCACATTAGACCCAATACAGGAGCCATATTTACGTTGTGTAGTCAGGGTGCTAAATGAATGCCACATAATGTAGCTTATCTCAACATGCCTTAAAACAGCTAATAACTGCTATTTGTTACTGTCTGCGGGTTGAGACCAACACTGACCAGAAAACTGGTGTCTTTTAATACCGAGGTTTTGGTCCAGTGGAGCCAGGATATGAAGGAGGGGTCTGTGAAGTTCATAAGGAACTTCACAGTTTCCACTTATGATCAATAATTTATTGCCTGTTGATAAAAGTGGCTGCCCATCCTGAATTTGGTTTGGTTTGAGATTTCTCCCTAATAAAGTTATTCCTCTTTAATGACTTGCTGACCTTTCCTCCCGAATGGGGGGAATAGTATTGAAATTAAGGTTTGAATCCAAAGTTTCCTTTGGAATTTTTTTATTTTTTATTTTTATCAGAGATGTACTAAATCAAAGGTCATCCAGTGATAAAAACAGAATCATTTTTAGCTTGGTTGATTGGTTGGAAACCCAAATATTAGATACTTTCTAATTAGTAAAGACAATCCATCAAAATTAAACCTGGGCTGCTACTAACAATTATTTTAGTAATTACTCTATCAATTATTCTGGCAATTAATCTAAAAAAACAAATATTGGCACATTAAGAAGAATTTTAATTTAACCCATTAGCCTTTGTTCATACAATATTAGAAATAAATTAAAAGATTCAAATAAATGATTAAATTCCTATAAAAAAAAACAAACAGTTCATTTTATAGACATGGTATTACTATTTTGCATGTTTGATTGTAGCAAACGATGCATCTGCAGCTAAATAAAATACTTCTAATCAATATATAAAAAGTTCTCTTAAAACAGCTTCACGGCCAGGAGTCTAATTTTACTACATTCAATACGACCCATTAAACTGCTCAGCTGCTGCTGTTACATGGTGGCAAAAAGACGTCCGTCTTTGTCTTGTCTGCATGTCTGAAGCCATGCAGGTGGTCAAACAGACAGCTCTGCCTGACTGTGTGATTTTATAGAATACCAAAAACAAAAGGAGCGTGAGCAGCTTTGTATGAACAGCACACGATTTTGTCATGTTTTGTTTTGATTGAACTGATTCCATGTGGACAAATGTTCCATTTACAGTGGGAGCAACAATCAAACACGGAGATCCCAATCAGAGGTCAGAGTTAAAGTCTGCACACTGATTTGTTCCATTAATCAAGAGGAAACTAGTTTTTCTTTACTGCCACCACCTATGATCCATACAATCACTGTTCTCCATTGTTACTCCAAGGTATATGTTAACTCTACTTCAAGCTTGTTTAAAATCCACAATAAACAGAAAAAAAAAATGTTTCTTAGATTCTCAAAGAACAAACTGACCGCTTTTCTTCACTTTCTTCTTCTACTGCTCTCCAGTTTTTGTTATTTGTTGCCATTTCGACTGTTAACTTTATATTGTCTGTCAGAAGCTGCACCTGGTCTAATGTTCTGGTTGGCTGTCTTGCTTTTTCTGGAGGAAGGCATCGGCTGAGATAATGCTGCCAACAATTAAACATTCTCCCTCTCCAACTATTTTCATTAACATAGAAAGTTCCCTTCTATCAGTTGTTCTGTTTCTTTTTTGAGCTTTCTGCTCTGTCTTCTGAAACCCCCAGTCGGTTGTGGCAGATGGCAGCTTGCTCTGAGCCAGGTTCTGCTGCGTTTCCTTAATCAGAAAACTTTTTAAAGTAATTTGAAAAACAAACGGAGCTCAATGCGCCGTTTGATAACGAGGATCAATTGGGAATGTATGGGTGGTTCAACTAAACTGAGCTATCTCTGTGGCTACGCTGCCTTTGATTTAAGCTGGTGTCTCCAACCTGCTGCTCTTTGGACCCTCCACAATGACTCTTGTTAAAGAACCAACTAATGAAGCTTTAATAACAAATACATGTTTTAGGAGTTTCTTTTATAGAATACAGTAATTGCAGTTGATTTCCAAAACAGAATGACAATTAAATTACCAGAAACATTTTTCAAGACTTATTTTTAAGAGTCGTTTGGTTGGGATGTATGTGCTTTTTCCATCACTTTCCTCAACATCCCAAAATAAAATGTTTCCATCCCTCTTTGGAAAAGTTTCATATTTTTGAAACATAATAGAAATAAAATAGTTGTTTTTATGCTGACAGAGAACTTACTGAACACTTTTCTCCACTCCCTTGTCATTACTGTCTTTTCTTTCCATTTATATTGTTGTAATTATAAGAATAAAAAATACTTCTGGACCCATGACTTCTGGTTGTGTTTCTCTCAGGTCTGAGCTGGTCAAGGGAAGGGGCTGCTAATGCTAACAGAGGTCCTGTTAAAGGTTTCTTCTTGCTTAAAGGTAGTTGTTCTCCTACAGTCTAAATCTAGTTTGATAAGAATTAAAGTGCATGGAAGAAAGAGTCGAAACAATCAAACCTTGAAAACCTTAACTGATTGCTGTCTTACAAGCTGCTAAAGCTGGATATATTGCACCTATACTGAATTATCTGGAGTGAATTTGATTCTGTATTTTAATATGAAGGGGATCTGTGCAACTGATTAAGATGGATTTCACTGTGAAAGACCAGAAATACTGACCAGAAAAATGTAATAAGCCTTAAAAAGTGACTGCACTTTCATGATTTTAATTTATTTCTCTCCATCTATACCTGATAATGAGTAATTTAACATGTATCCATCTATTAAATTTGTTCGGCTGAACAAAGTTTGTTGTTGGGGCTAATGTGTCAACCTTTGGAGGGAGGGGTTGTGAGAAGTACAGAAAAAGAAAATCGTGTTAGGAAAAGCACAATAACTTAAGTAACTGTAATAATGTTCTGTCTCTTGACAAGCTGCTGGAAAACCCAGCCAACTTCCCCCCTCCCTGCCTGTAACCCCCCGCCTGCAGCATTGGCAACGGCTCCCCTCGGCTGCAGGCCCTTCTGACAACATTGGCCCCTCTTCTTGAAAACAGGCAACAGAGGACACGGCGAGCTGAATGATGGAGAGCGTGTGTTTGTGCCATAAATGTAGAGAGCTTTACTGAGGGAATAGATGCAGATGTGTGTGTTTGTGTGTTTTTCCGTCTGGTAAGCCTGATATAAACTTGATAGATGCCGGCTGTAGGAATGACAAGCCTTAATGTGTATGGTAGAGAAAAATAAAAAAAGCATAGGGAGAACGCGTGTGTGTACTTCTGCTAAATGTAAAACGATTGGGAGGGGAAGCAGAGAGCAGTCAGTGCGAGACCGCATGCATGTGCGTGCGTGTGTGTGTGTGTATATACGGGCATCTATAAAACTGATAGAACGATTGCTTGGCAGAGGTACAGGATCGTGTAAAGCGGAGGGGATGAGATTTTAGTTGCTATAGAAATGACAAGCAGTATTGAGAGCATGTCCGCATGAGTATGTGTGTGTGTGTGTGTGTGTGTGTGTGTGTGTGTGTGTGTGTGTGTGTGTGTGTGTGTTAGTCAGACCTGGTGGAAAATGAGAGCCTGGCTGATGTATCCCCAGCTGGACGTGGGGCTGAGGTAGTGAATCAGCAGGAGGAGGAGCAGCATGAAGGCAATGCTAGCTGAGGCGTAGATGGCGTTGATGAGGAACATCATGATGGCACAACCGACGATGCCCAGTATGCACGTATGCCAGGTGAAGTAACGAAACGTGGGCCTGAGAGGGAAATAAGAGGGATGGAGGTAAATCTCACAGTAGAAGTTGCAGAAAATTGAAAATGAACAAACAGGAGGGTAGAAATGCCAGCCTGTGATATTTGAGAATATCTGCATGAAGAAGAGCACAGTGGGAAAAAAAAAAAACTAAACAAAAAACTTCCATTTTAGAGACTTTTTTCAATACAAAATACCCCAGAGGATATTTATGTCCCTGGTCTCCAAATTAATCCAGGTGTTTTCATTTAGAATTTAATTATTTGATAAGTATGTTTTGGATGAAATTTCAGCAATTCATCTTGTTTTTGTTTCAGACACAGGAATAAGAAGTGAACCATCACTTGCCAGCTGTAATGCACTTTAATATGCTCCCCTTAGTAAATGAGATTTAATTACAGGAACAAACTTTTGTCCTTGTGCTTTATATAGTAATTTCTCAAAAAACAAAAAACATTTTAATTAAATAAAGTAGACGTTTAATGGGACATCTTAAATAGAGGTGCACCAAGACATCAGTCGATGACCGGAGCAAGACAATTTACAGCACGGCCTGTCCTGTTGGGTGAAAGACCTGTTGGACAAATGACCAACATCTTTTGGATGCAGTCGTTTAATTACTAAATATTTTTGTAGATATGCATGACGATGCACATTAAAGCCAAGTAGGTAATATATGAGAGTTGATAGCTGGATGTGGACATAAGGGAAATCAGAGGGGAACTTGTGTGGGCTCCAGACTGTCAATATTTAGACACATTTTGTTACCAGTTTCAGAACTTGGAAATATGGCCTGATGTTTTATTTTAAATTATTTTATTTGTTTTTTTAACTCTCCAAAATATTAGGTGCAAACACCACAAGGGAGCAAATATCTATGAGGAAAGGAGCATCATAGTTTACCCTACAGAAATGTAGCTGTATCATTATTTACCATTAATATATTTTTTTTTTCACATTTAGAAAACTTTTACCCAGGCAGCATAATATTACGGAAACATGAAATTGCAATTTTGTTTAATATCTCAATGAAACGGCCCAGATCAGCTTCACTACTCTTCTCCACATCACGCCAAGCCCCCACAGCTCTTCCTAAGCTTTATGATCTTGGTCGCTAAGAGGTTAGATTCCTTTTTTATTGACTTAGGATCAAAACAAATGTGGCATTAATGCGAAGACAAGATCAATTAAACCCAAAGCGATGCAGATAATTAGCCACTGCTTGTAGCTTTCTTAGCGTTTGTGTGCAGAAGCCTATAATTATGAAAACAAAGCTCTGTTGATCTCACATTCTAGATGGAGGTGTGAGATACACATTGGACAGAAACTGAACATTTTTACTGAATCATGTAATTGACCCCAATTTCCCTGCAGCACCTGAAGGCGTGTAGACGAACGGCGGTAAAAATGGAAGGAGCTTTAATTACACACCTCAACTGAAACATGGTGGGTGCTTCCTCCACAGATCAATACACATTTTTTTAACTAAGAGGCAAAAATGAACAATCAATAAACATGAAACTGAAGCAATGCGTAGCTCTCAGCAGAGAAGAGAGAACACAAAGATGTTAAAATAGTTGGAGCGTGAAGGGATTGACAGATGAGACCAATGAAAACCTGGGTGGATCTGAATTTATAAACCTGAAAATGGATATTTTGAAAGCTCACAGATGGTGAAAGGTAATTTCTTGTAATGGGCTTGAAACAAACTCCCTCTGTAGACCAGACAGTAATTGTACCCCAACATCATCATATTCCAGGCAAGTCCAGATTAAAATATCGGAACAAGGACTGAAGAAGTACTGCAAAGAAAATCCAGTATCGTATGCAGAAACCTTTTATGATAGACACACATTGTGATAAAGCATTGGTTTATAAAATTTAGAAGATTAATGAGAAAGGATGTTCCTCCCTTATGATAAAAAAACAAAAAAACATAGGAGAGTCCACTGGCCTTTTAAGTCATGCTTCAATTGACCAATAAAGTTCAGTGATCACAGAAGGTCATTCAAGGACGTTGTAGTTAAAGTTTCTCAACTGAGATACCCAATGCCAGATGAGGCTGTAGCATCAGGTTACTGTCCAACATCTTGTAAACAACATTCAGCCACAACTGTCCATTAATCAAAGATGAATAATTACATTTACTGACAAATTCGGTTGGTGACAAATGAGACCAAAATAAAATGTGTTTACTTGATCAATCATCCACATCCCTGCTTATGAGGTGAAAGCTGATAAATTTTGTCCAATAGTCTGATGTATGAATCAATTGCACAATACTGGCATTTCCTTTGGGCTCAGTTGTATTTGGTGTTTAGCAGAAATTAAAGACAGTAAATCAAAATGTTAAGGATTGGGGGGAAAACGGCCAATAGCAAATAAGTGCTGCTTTTGGCTCATGGCCTAATTGTCCTGAAGACAATTTGGTCATGTGTGTTTCATTAATAGCCTAAATTAGCTGTACATTAACCTTCATAGGATGACAGCAATGGACAATGGCAATGTCAGAAAAAGTTCAGCAAAGAAATAGTTCTCTCTACCTATATAGTATGTCTTATTTAACATGCAATAAGAATTATAAACATTGACTGGCATTTGATTGCCTTACAGTTCACCTACATGAGCTGGACAATACATCAATTCTCAATAAAGACAAAAATGAGCAACAAGAAAATGGGAAAAGACTGTTTGCCATTTTGAGTAGTATAATATTTCAGGGTCCATGAATTCAAATGCATCTTGCAAATATTGTGTTTGGCCAATCAGATGAACTTTCAATTGTATTTAGGCTCACAATTGATTTGAATCAGAATAAACAAGATAATACATTTCAGAGAGAGAGTGCTTACGGTTAATTGTTGTGATAAAAATGTTGGACAATCACAATCCCCATCATTATTGCAATATTCAGTCATAACTTGGAATTTCATGCTTTCTGAATATGCAACACTGGGAGAAACACTAAGGCATTATTTACTTTCCATTAACATTGTACCTGTTAAAAAAAACTATTTCTAGAATGTATAAAGGAAAACTTTATACAGGGCTTCACTTTGGCAGGAATTTTAGCCCATCCTTCTTTGTTCTGGCTGTTGAACAACAGTCTTGAAACTTTATTTTTATTTCCCCTTGACTTGATCACTTAACACAAGCGTTGGCCACCATTTTCCAATCTCCCCTATCCGTCCCATCTGAGAGTGGAATTAATTACAGTAAAAGCCTGCCCACCTGGTCAACCATCCCCCACTCATCCTTTTAGTCTCTGCAGGAACTGTTGCTGCTGATCAGAAGGGCTCCACTTAGCCACCTCCCCATCTCCCATCTTGCTTGCTCTCCAGCGACTGATGTCACTTAGCTGACACAGCAAAATCACCCTAGACGAAAAAACTTGCCACAGACCAAGTCCTTGGAGATATAAAAAGGAGGAGCAGCTAAGACGGAGAGTGGAGAGCTAGCTTGCAGCCAAAGGAATACGTCATATCAGAAGGAAAAGTGGGGACAGACACACATCCAGGGGAAGGCTGCCAGGAGATGCCACATTCTATAAGTGAGGGGTCTGGGTGTGTGAGACATTACGTCAGGCTGCCTCTAACATCAGGGAGGGACCAGCTTAGACCGATTCGACCTTAAGAAATCTGTACTTAATTGATATTGGATCAACCCGGTAAATGACAACTATTTCTCCTCATTAAGGTTGTATGAAGGGGAGTGTGACTTAAAGCTGGAGTTTACTTTCAAGTTTGGATGTGGCAAAAGTAAAGATTCTCTCAAGTGTTGTATTTAAAGTGCCTGGGGAAGTTTAGCTAAGATTTCAAGTTGTGAACCTATTAATGACTAAATTTCAGAGGGCTTTTCTCAGTACAACTTATTAAAGTACAGCCTGAAGGTTCATGAACCGTCAAGGACCCAAACCTGAAAAAAAAAAAATTATTAAAGGAAGCAGTTTAATGGTCATTTTGAAATTTCAAGTATGGCATTAATCACGGTTTCTTGTGAGCCAGAAAAGAGAAAAAAGGTAATCAATGACAACTGAAGGGAGAAAAATAAAAAAAGCCATTTCACCTCAAAATGTGGGTATTTCAGATTTTATAAAGTGGCCTTTTGTTGAGACTGACAGTATTTGAAGATGAGTGAAACCATTTCTGTAGCCATTACCTTTAAAACTAATCTCCCTTTAATCAGGATGAAAGTTGTGTCCAGTTTAAAAGTGTTGGATTTTGAGTTTTCAGTTTGAAATAAAACAATAAGAAACAAGAATGCCAACTGAAGTCAGAGATAGGTCTAGTATCTCTGTCACAGAAGTCACTCAAACCAAATTTCAACATCTAATATGGCTGCTGCACATAGAAAACAAAGTGTGTCCAAATTCAGGGGTTGCATACTTCGAAGGCCAATTACGTCACTGAATGAACGCTGTCTAAATCTGAAGATTAATACAAATACGATTCAAATCTAATTATATTCATATTTAGCGGTATAAACATTTAAAATTCAAAGAAGTTGTGTGGTTTGGCTTTTCTCATTGATGTAGATATGTTTTTAATACAATTTTTAATAAATAAAACAAACTGAAAACCAGACAATCCATACATAAAATTAAAAACAACAAACAATAGCAGGTATGTTTTTCAGGTCTGACTATGTAAAGCTATATAAAGAACATTTATTCTCAATTTGTCAAGTCTCTCTCAGACATTGCTATTTGCCTGTCTCAAGGTCACAGCATTTGTTTTTTTTATTATTATTTTTTTTTTTTGGTTTCAGCAAATATCCTGACACTTGTGTATTAAATCTTGGCCAGTGACTGTGTGATACAGTGTGTATTTGTGTTTTTCATTGTGAATATTCAAGTGGGTTTGAGTCTGCTTTCCAAGTGGCCACAGAAGCAGGACATAAAGCACCCTCTGAGCAACACTTCCTGTAGCTGGAACCACCAGTGATAAAGATGCAGCCAATACCAGTCACTGTACACAAGACACACTCCCAAAAGATAAAAATACA